GTAATGATGATGACGTGTGAAAGTAAAAAGGGGAGCATGAAATATGAAATACGGCCAAGTGCCAAGAATGATATAATAATTGTGGCCACTAGCGCCAATGAATTGAAAAGATGTAAAAGAAGTATGAAGAAGGATGATAGATAGAAAAGGATATTGTATCAGGCGAAACAGCCTAGCCGATTGGGCTATGATCGGATGCCATGTCGTATATATGATGGTGACGGTGCTGGAAATTATAATTGAAATTGTGATTGTGGTTGATGTCTCAAATGAGGTGGCCTAGCCGATCAGGCGTGATCGGACTCCGTGTAAAAGTACGGTGGTATTGTGAATTATAGTATATCGGTACTAAAGATCTCCCAACCTAAAAACATAGAAATTTACATGAAAACTTATGTGGTTCTTAACTTGATGTTTGTCACGACCCAAACCGATGGGGAGCAACAGGCACCCGGTACCTTACTCAACTGAGTACCAAAATAACGTATCTTTTCATATCATACTATCATAAATAACTGAGCCGGAGAGGCTGCCGTGAAATAGGTAGAATACAATAGGTAATGCCAACTTATACATAAGACATATGGGCTTCTAAGACCAAAATAACCACTTGAACACTGAACGTAGGCCGACAATGCCATACGATCTTTTGTGTACATGACATCTGTCTACAAGCCTCTAAGAATACATAATTTTAATAAAGGTCGGGACAAAGTCCCGTCATACCAAACAATACACATATAGCTCATATTAACCAAAACAAGCAACTCTGAAGCAAATGGAGTGGACCAACATCTTCCGCTGCGCTGATAACCTACTTGGAGGGCTCTCGACCTGTTTATCGGGACCTGTGGGCATGAAATGCAGCGTCCCCAGGAAAAAGGGACGTCAGTACGAATAATGTACTAAGTATGTAAGGCACATAAATAAGTACATAACAGACATGGAGGAAATATAGAGTAAATGACTCCACTTGTAAGTCTGGATAACTTTGTAAATCATGAAATAATTATAGTGTCATGCATATGCGTATGAATGTTGTGTCGTGCTTAGGTACATGTTTTATAACATCATCAGGCCTCTAAGAGCATCCCATCATATCATCTCGGGCCTTGTGGGCAAAATTATCAACTTATACCAGATGATCAGGTGGTGGTGCGTATATAACGCAGTAACCTTTTCCCATATCCCATATACATATAATATNCGCAAGAAGTGCTTACCTCGAGGACTGGAAGCCACGGCCGAGTTCCCAACCCCGGGGCTCATTGAGGCCCGACTTAGAGAAAATGGATATCGAAGCCAAGACAGAGGGGGAAGCTCCCAAGGCACACGACTAAGTCTGACAGGGCGGCCTATCCAGAGCCTATGTTGAGGCGTCACGTCAAGCCATCCCATCTCCATACTTTGTAATTAATCTCCACGTACTTGTAACCGAGTTCCCCTCCTATATAAATGGGACTCACACTACCTTGTAACGGATTGATGTTGCTCCATTTCTCCACAAGTGCAATAATCTCTCTCTCTCTCTTTTCTTTCTAACTTCATTGTTCTTACTGGCCCGAAGTCACCTTGATATTCATTGCTTTCTTACTTGTTCTTCATCGAATTGCTTAGTATTGGCCGTGAAGAGCCTTGTTTAATTATATCCTCAACTGTTATCCCATCCCCGACTATCCCAGATAGCTTGAGCTTGACCCTGACGTTGACCCCGAGGTCCCCCATCGACCAGACCTATACCCGGGCAACAGGCCCCTCGGTTCGATTACTATCTCGTTTTAGCTTACATTTAATCTTTAAACTCCTTATTATCAGCATCAACTGCTCTAACAACTAGCTCGGGAATAGATCACGCATTTTTAGAATCTCATCTACAAATTTAATTGTTGTTACCATTTTTACGGTAAACAGTTTGGCGCCCACTGTGGGGCTAAAAATAATAGTGATTATTTTCTTGTTAGTTTCATTGCACAAACGCACATTATCTTTTACACTTTTTCTTGTCCAAGATCCTTTGATTTCAGGTCAAAAATGTCTGGCTCGGTAAGCAGAGTCGAGAATGTTTACCCCGAAAGTCACAGCGGAAATGGTGAGACTGTTCCAGTGGTTGGCACGACGCCGCGGAACCCCGATAACGCATTTGGGCTAATTCCAGCGGACGCAAGTTCGCGAGGCGCACAACAGGTCGACGAGGCCTCGCACACCGATGGGAGCATTCAGCATATGGACCAACAGGAAGCCCAACAAACCCCGGCTCGGGAAACACATGAAGTTAGTCTTCATGACATTTTTGAAATACTGCAGGCACAGCAGTTGGCTATCGCTCAGTTGCAGAGCCATCTGGGGATCCCCAGTACAGTAGCACCGGAAACGACTCCCTGCGCCGAACGAGTACCCAAAAGATCAAGAAACCATGGATCGATAACCGACCCCGCCACAACGTAGACGCTGGAGGACCACTCCAAGAGAATCAAGTCATGTTCATGGAGGCTCATGCAACAGTTATCTCCAGGGGAAGCGGTCCCGGAACCCGCTCCATAGAAATACGGAACGCTGGAACTCCCTAGGTGCGACAGAACCTCGGATCCCGACAAGCGCACCACCACTTACATATTTGCGGAAAACGGAAGCGACCTTCAAGATGATGAGTTCGAGCCCGTCCCGTTGAAAATGTTCGGGGAAACACTCTCGAGAGAAACCATGATGTGGCGTTGTAGCCTCGCACCTGACTTCACAAACTCGCTTACCATGTCAGCAAATACCCCCCGCAGGAGCACATACTGATGCCATCGAAGCAGTAACGGAAGAGCCCGACACATCTGAGGCCAAACAAAGAGAGAGTGAAACACCACAGGAAGTCGCGCCTCATTCCCTGATAGGATGAATGAGATCGTTCCCGATTTCGGATGACTGGGCGACCCAAGCTTTCGCCCAAAGTTTAATAGAAGCATGTTAGACGACTCCGGGTCATTTCAAACGAAGCTTAATCAAATACCCAGTTGAGACCTGGTCGGATGACCATACCTAGCACCGGCCATGAATCAGGGCCATGGACAACCGTCCGGGAGCCTCTACGGGCCCGATATACCCAAGCAGGCTACCAGCAAAGAAACTAACGGCCAACAGATGGAGGTACCATCCATGCGCGCAAATGGGAGGAACACCACAAGATGCAACCTACCTCGCAACGGTAGGGAAATAGTTCGAAGGCAACATCCTTGAGGAACCTTCAGTGGAACCAGATCTGACGAGCCACTACCGGCAGAGGAACCCCGCCCAATGGAGTACTATTTCGACATTACCATGTCAAACATCGTGATCACCATAAGCGAAACTAGGGACGCCGAACCACTTAGACCTATTCGACCAAGACCCCTTCAAAAGAACCACAACCCGGCGCGGGAACCATAGGGCGCGTGCGACCACGGGATCAAAAATAACCACCAGCTCAAAAGGGCGACAGCTGTGCTGCTCAATAAAAATCGCCGCCGAAGTACCATCGAGCGGTCAGGCTTGAGTCCAGCCCTAAGGGAGGAAGGCATCCGGGAAGGATGAAGCGAACGAGCCACGACGTATTACCACGACAGTGAAGGAGCAATGACACCCTCCGAGGGCTCATAAAATGGGAAGTGAAAATGTTCGCCGTCAGGGAAAAATGGGTCCAGGGAAATATTCCGGAGAACACCCTTATATCCAGGGAAAAGGGCACCGAGACTCCGCCTCGGCATCACACTGACGTATTGGTAACCCTTTCCCTCATTTGAAAATAAATTTAAACCATCAATATCGAATTGATTATTATACTTTAAGGAACATTCAAGATTAATGCAATATTTTTTTCAAATTTCCATGATCTAGTGATCTTAATTTTTATTGCTAAATAGGATACCAGAAATATTTTCATATGCTTTGAATTGTTCAAATCTATTTTGAAGTGAAAAAAAAATAGTTTTATCTACTATGTATAAAGTAATTCAACTCCAAAGGACTCTTCGAAAGATTTTGAAATTTTATTATCCATTCTCATCAAATTGTTACTTCCTATATATCACACGTTTCTTACGAAATTCGGGTTCGATATTCATTTCAAGTGTAATTTTCTTGGCAGAAATCATAGCAGTTGCAAATCATTGTTCTCTATACTTGTTAAAGAAAGAAGTCAAACTTTTTAACTTCACATAACCTTTTTTAAACTTATACATAGTCTATTAAGTGTAATAAAAAATGGGATCCTCGCAAATGTGGGGCCTAAAGCAATTATTTTACTTGCTTTATGGAAGGGCCGCCCCTGATGGTGTCCATGTTTCCAGTACAGCCCCACATAATTTCTGGTTTTATATATGGTCATCTTGTTAGAGCAACAAAGGTGTGAACTGTGGCAATAAATTTCCTCCCTGCTTGTTCAGATTTATTAGAAATGGGATTTGAAATGGAAAGACTTAGAAATTAATAACAGCATCCTTAAACAAAAATTGAAAAGGAAACAAACAATTGAAAAAGAGATGGAAGAACAAGAATAGGCACAAAATGGGATAATTCAACTCATCAGTGAATATTTTTGCGAGTGACTTGTCCGATTGGAAGTAGAGGGTTAGAGAAGTGGTACAATAGCTTAGTGATAGATCAGTGACAAGAATATTCCCATCAAGCTATTGATATTCATGCTTTCTCTATAAGGTTAGATTTCCAATTATTTCTAGTAAAATGTCTACAAAAATATCGGTAACATCTTTTTCAAGACCACTTCACCCTAGTTCTTCTCAAATTCAAATTAAAGTAAATGTAATATAAAACAAATGGTGACTAAATTCATTAACAACAAATTCCAATTCCGGAATAAACATAGGTCTATTTGCAATCTCATAGACTAATATTCCTTCATACTAACCCGAAGAAAAAAGAGAGAAAATTGAAGGCAAAAGCACAGTGAAAATTGGAGAGAAATTACAGAAAGTAAAATGAACTTTGCATTGCATAAAAGATTCTAGGTACAACAGATTATATCTCTCAGAATGTGTTTTTTCCTGTTCTTTTCCTATTCAATCAAGTCAGCTCAACTGTACCTTAAAACCCTTCCTAATTCCCATCTAAAAACCCTTTCCCCTACCAAGAAAACCAATTTTTTTTTTAAAAAAAAAAACAAGCATATCCAATTAACTTCCTTTCTGCTACATCAAGCAATAGCTCCATACTACTATTGTGCACCAAAGTCCCACAAATGGATAGTGGCATCACTGGAACAGGCTGCTAAATACCTTTCATCTGCAATTATAGCATTTATATCACCAATTCTCTCCCTAATACTGTATAGATATGCTCCATGTTGTATCTCCCGCACCCTAATCACATTCCTTATCCACATCAATGCATACCCTCCATTCATGCACCCAACAATTCCCCTTTGGTTTGCTCCTCCAACATTAAACCTGCATATCTCCTCCAAATTGTCCGCCCTACGCACGGTGGCTATGCCCCGGTTGTCCACGGCCACCAGCGTCTCGTTTCGGGCATCAAATGATGCCACGATGAGCCCTCTTCGGAACGGTTGTGCTCTTATTATTATGCCTTGGTTTTGCAAGTCAATTACCATGATCTGCAGGCTGGTGCATGCCACGGCCGTCTCTCGGGTTGTCACCCTGATTCGGCCCACGAGCTCGGTCACCTCGGTCAGTAGGTGCCAACCCATTAACGCTTCTGGATCTGTCAATTCACCACCAACAAAGAGTAGTTCTTCTGTTTCCTTATTCCATATGTGAAATGCCCGTCCTGGAACACCTGAAACAAATGCAAAAATTGCCTACTTAAAGTATCTGTGTAGTTCCTTCGTTACCCACTTAATTTTTGTAGTGATCAGATTGTTATTCTAATTATAACTTCTAATATAAAAGGAGAAATCAAAACATTTCTTTACTTCATTTATGACAGTAAAATATTAGAGTGAATATACTATTACTACTTGGTCAAGAATTTGACCTTTCCTCAAAAGTCTACTAGAAGTGTTAGCCTAATCTTTTCCCTGTATCAAAATGAGGATAGCACACAAATCAAGAAGTTACGATCCTTACCCTTCTTATTTTAAAAAACACTCCACACTTATATTTTAAAAATCCAAAACGTTTAGATCCTCCCTTTTAATTTGCTACTATCCACACATTTCAACGTGACCAAGAAAATAGATATGTTATGAAAAGAAGAACTACCTGCATATAAGCCAACCCACCACTGGTCACAGCCAGTGAAATCAACCAAAGCACCATCATTAACTACGTCCCCTAAATGAGCACGTCTAGGTGGTGCAGCATCACCTATGACCACCACATGAATATCACCATCAAGAGAAGCAAACACAAGTTGAACATCAGACAAAATAATCCCAGAAACAGCTCTAGAGAATGGGCCTAGGCGATCACGGTGATGAGGGTGGAAGGTCGACAACTGTAGCCTCGTAGGTATATAAAATAATTGAACCGAGCCATCGGAGAACCCCGCGGCTAGATGGTGGTCAGACAAGGCTAAACGTCGACAAAATAGGCTGTCGATGTTGTTGTTATTGTCGTCGTTGTCGTTGTTTTCTGGCACGAAATGGAGGGTATTATATGTGTATCTATGGTGAAGGAAATTATTGGCTGTTTGGTGCCAATATATGTACTCCTCCCGCCATGTTGGGCGGAGAAGGTTGTGGCGGTTCCATATCCGGCGGGTCAGGTTTTGCCATAGTAGATCGGAGTGTGACACTGCTTGCCATGTTGAACAAACCTGAATTTAGTGGCCATTATAAAATTTATTAGCAATTTCATAATCATGCCATATGAAAAAGAAGAAAATAAGAAAAAAGCACAACAAAAAAAATCTGAAATCTTAATTGTGAGTAATGAATGTTAAAGGCTCCATATAATGATACATAATAAAAGTATTTCTGTCATTAAACAGTACAAAGTTAGAGTATCATGCCACCATAAAGCCAAGACATGCCTACTACAAAAAAATCAAATTATTGGATCCCTGATTAGTGAAGCTCATCCGTAGTCAATTCCAAAATCCAAGAGTTCTGAAGTAGAGTCAAATAGAAATACATATATATGGAGAGAGACAGTCATAGACACGTGTAAAATCACAATTTTGAGGGCACTTTCACTCTTTGTCATTGTAGGCATGCCTAACATGCTAGCTCACTTGATTTACAATTAGAAAGCAAATTAGAAGGGGGGGAAATCAAAGTTTTACTTAAGAGAACGTTTGGACATAAGAATTTTTTTACATTTTTCGAAAAGTTCATTTTTTTTTAAATCAATGTTTGGTCATAAAATTTTCAATTTTTATTTGAAAATGAATTTCAAAATTTTTCAAAAATTTGAAAAACAACGAAAAGCTATTTTTCAAAATTCACTCAAAACTCACAAAACTACAAAACAACTCAAAATTATATTCATGTCCAAACAGAACTCTAATTTCAAATAACATTTTGCACTCAAAAAAATAATTTTTTTGGAATTTTACGGTTCTTATGTCCAAACGCCCACTTAGAAAAACCTAATGAAGAAAAGAAGTGGGAGGATGGTGATGCATGGGGGAAGTCAGAAAGGGGGTCAGGAAGTAGTAGGGGTAGTAGTAGGCAGTGTAGAGGTAAACATGGTAGTCAGTCTTAGGGTACTACAAGATCTCATCATATGTCTCTCTACTACTGAAGAAGAAATATACTGACATTTTTCGTCCTTTTAATGACACCATCCAGGCTTACAAACACAAGGTACTGTTAACACACACTAGTACGACCCTTAAATGCCAATTTAATTACCTATCTCTCTACTTAATAGTATTCTTTAACAATAGAAAAGGAGAAAAAGACTTTATATGACATTATCTAGTTGAGCAAAAAGATAAGCCTATATATTTTAACATGTCATAACATTTTATGATTAAAGAATATAAAGCTACAACATTTTTTATGTTTTAAATAATTCACTGTTGTCCATTAAACACTTATAAATCACATAAAGAATTGAGCTTTTATTAACTTGGAACGTGTGATTCCCCAGCCCAAAGTCTTTTTGGAGCAATAAACAAGGAAGAATACAGAAGGGACAAAGACACTCTTGAAGGGTCAAAACTGACAGAAGAAAAAGAGATTGACTTGTAAAAGAAAATCCAAACATATATATACAAAAAATTAAACAGGACAGTGACTAGTTTCTTGTGCACTTTTGTGGTCCACAGCATACACGAATACCATAAGCACGAGCATATCAACCTCATCAAAAATCTTTTACTATACATATAAACATCGGATTGATGTTATAACTATTGCTTTTCAATATATTTATATAGCGACGAGACCCCCTTATCCTTTCTTTCTTTCATTTCCAAGAAAGGAGCCTTATGGCCTTTCTCGTTAGAAGCGTCGAATCTTTATACTCTTTTTTGCATTTGCGACAACTTATTTTTGTTTCTTTGACCATGGGTTCTTACTTCTCAAATATATGGTCTTCTATACATCTTAAATTAAATCAACAAGAAGTTAAAAGACTACAATTTTAACCTATAGTGCGTAGTTAGTGGGTACCTATTAATGAGAACCTTTAAGTTAGTCTACATCTAAAAATTAACAAAAGTGACACAATAAATAGAGAAATAGAGAAATGGAGCGACTTCCATATAAATATTAGAATTTAACAGTTTAATTTTAGGATGCCAAAAATAGGGAATAATTCGGGATGACAAAAGAGTCCATATAACAAAAAGATTTGGAGCATATGAGCTTAAACCTGGCATAGTACTACATATTCAAAAACAGTGTGATTTATTTACTGTCCTTTAGTTGCAATCTTGGTCCCACTTTTAATATACCTGAGAGAGAATGTGGGAACAAGAAAACATAATATAAAAAACCCAGAGGATTATGAGGAAAGATCAATGTTTTTGTCCCAATGAAAATGAGCAATAATTTCGGATTTTTTCTTCTTCTTGTCTCCATATTTGGTTACCAGGATCATACTATACAGGAATGTTGGAAAATTAAAGAACAAAAAGTAAAATTCTTAAAAGAGAGAGTACTCATAAGCAAAACCAAATAGTGAAAATGGTATGATTAGTTGCCCACATCTCTAACTAAATATACACATTCTGTTGGCAGTGTTGAAAAGGATCGTGCAATGAAAGGGAAAGGAAGTTGAAGAAACCAAAAGAACCCTTTTCCCTTATGACTATATATATGCTAAAAAGAGGGCCATCTAAATATGGATAATCTAAAGGTGAAAATGATGGCTGCCTTACTATATATTCCCGTCAACAAGCACAAAATGAGAAATTGATGAAAGGAAAAAACAAAATTCAACATAAAGTTTATAAAAATATGTCTGATCCACAAGTACAACCTTCCTCAAACTTAATACTTTTGATGCTCAAATTCTTTATCCTGCAGGTCATGATACAGCTACTGCCTAGCTATTTGGACATATTTACATCATCCAGTACTTGCAATATTTCCTTTATGCATCGATATATGATTTCTTTTTACTTTTTCAGAAAATCTTTAATGCAAATCTGCATCTTGCTATGTAACTACAGCCTATAATTCTCAGGTTCATTGGTTAAAGATATGCACAAATCATCTTTAAGCATGTCATTATGGAAAAATGATTACGCTAAATGTGACCAAGATTTTCATCACATCCTAACAACATCAACAACAACAAACAACAATAATAAACCCGACGTAATTTGACAAGTAGGGTCTGAAGATGGTAATATATATACCAACCTTACCCCTAACTTAAAGATAGAGTAGCACCAAGCACATCACATCCTAACAAGAACCGCAAATAATACCCTAAATTAATAAGTTACCTGAAAAATAACGGATAGGGCTTGAGCAGCAGCCAAACGGCCAATGGAACGAGAAGCATCAGAGGCAACAAGCAAAGCCAAATCCTCCACGAAAGGCTCTGGCCAAACATCATTTCCAGCACGTCTACGGCTCCTAGAGGAAGAAGGCTCTTCTCCTCCTCCAACTCCTCCTAAAGATGAAGGTGGTGATGATGACGACGACATATATAATTAAAGAACGAAAAATTTTGGCTTTGTAACGGAAGAAAAGTACAGAAGTGAAATGTTAGCTGGAGACAAAAGGGTATTACAAGTAAGCCAAAAAACCAAGAAGGGCTAAGAATGTGAGACTTGAGAAGTAAAAGATCCTTCTAACTACTATTTATATAAAGAGAAGGGAGATAATAAATACACAGAGATATAGGGTTTTCTTGAATGAATGAGTATAGTGTGTGTGTATGTGTTTTGTATGTACAAAAGAGACATAAATATTTTGGACGTTTCTTGATTTGTCAACACTTGGCCTAGAGCTCTCTCGTCCTGCTAAGACGGCGGAGGAAAACACTCTTCGGACCTCTGAGAAAATTATAACGGAAGGAAGAAGATGAGAAGAAACTGATGGTTTCTTCCATGTTTCATAACTTGAAGTCTTTTTCAGGTGGTAATTCGATACGTCCACTCGCTTTCTTCCTAGAAAAAACCCTTTTTTACTCCTTTGATCAATCGATTCTCTGTACTTTCTTTTTTTCCTTTCACTTAAGTCATTTTTTGTACTTTTATGTTACTAGAAAGTAGTGATTTTTTTCTTGTGTTATTATGGACTAATGGAAAATCCAATTTTTTTCTCCTTTCTGTTTTTTTTTTCCTCTAGTTTATTGTTTGCTTATGGTACGTGTAACCTTCTATATATATATATATATAAAAGTATGAATATAATATCGGTTTACAAAAATAACCTTATAATATTAAGCATAATAACTCATAATAAAAGGACATAACCGAAATTTTAAAGATTAGTCTTATAATCCTATTAGTTTTAGGACATAATACTACACCTTAGTAATACTACATAATTACCTTTAGGAATTCTATTAGTATAATTATTTTCGATTTGTCTAATTCATATAATATTGAACAAGTAAATATCTTTAGTCATGTAATCATATTACTTTTAATATAATTTCATGTGCGGATAAAATTGTAACATTGAAAACGTTTACTAATTTATAATAATTCGCATGGGGTTCATATACAAAGCAAGATTCCTACCCATTGTTATGTTCCATAGTCATATAGTATAAATTAGATAATTTCCACCGCCGTTTCATACTACGTAAAGGAGGCATTGTTTCATTCATTGGAGCACGCACGAATTTGGTAAAATTAAAAAAGACTTCCAAGAAATTGATATTTGCAATTTAACTGGGATCGATAACATGAAAATTTAATATTTTTATGTCATGTATTATTTACAAATATCATATTAAGAAGCATGACATTGTTAGTAATAATAGCAAGTGATATACAAATAACGATTTTATTGTGAGACCACCCACTTTAGATTTGATATACCTCTTCAAATAATTTAAATAACCATCACAAATATATCAAAGTAGAACAATGGTGCTAAATTTATAAGGAAAGCAAAATTGATAATTTGGGGTAAAACACGTATGGCTAAGTGTCAAACGATCGAAATAATTGCCCGGAGTTCTAGAGAGATATTGGATAAAATGAACCGTTTGATGAAAATTAACAATTTTAGAGGTAATTTATGTCAAGTACTACCAGGAATTCCAAAATCAACAAAACCAGAGACTGTAAAAGCGAGCTTGCCAAAGTTATACTTCTGGCCTCAAATAAAAAGATTCAACAAACAAGAAATATAAATTCCACTTTCGTCTTTCGAAACTAAGGAATATCCTTTTAAATTTGTGTGAAAATAATTTTTAGTATGTTTATGTTTTGCAAATATAATAAATAAAGCACAAGGACAAACATCCTAAATATTAGACTATATTAACCGCAATATATTTTCTTGCACGAACAACTGTTAGTTGCACTTTCAGTAGGGATACCAAGATCGACTACAAGAGATTTGGTTAAGGCAGAGTAACCAAAACATTAAGAAGTGACATACACAAAACAAATATTGTACACAAAAAAAATATCTCTTAAGATACTATCACACTAAATTCTTTTAAATTATAATACTCCCTCCGTTCCAGTTATCTAACTAACATGACAAAATTGATCATTTGTGTGAGTTTTGATAATGTCCTTTTATTTTAAATTCATGTATTATGCTACTGTAATAATATTTTTCGACATTTAGATGATTGTTGTATTATTATACATAAAATTTATCTCATTAATTAAATTTTATTGTACCTTCATATAAATAAATGTTTAAATCATCATGTGCTATTATTAGCGTGCAATGCACGTTCATAGATACTAGCCTTATAATATTAAAAGCATAATAACATACGCACGTTCATATAAAAGCATGAATACAACGTTGGTTTACAAAAATAACCTTATAATATTAAGCATAATAACTCATAATAAAAGGATATAACCGGAATTCTAAATATTAGCTTTATAATCCTATTAGTTTTAGGATATAATCTTACATGGCAGGAATCCTACATGATATAGCTTTAGGAATCCTATTATTATAACTACTTTCGGACTGTCTAATACAATTAATTATAGAATATATACAAAGTAATTAATGTCAACAAAAAAGTTGTGTTCAATTATACAAATGCCAGCTCACATATTTTATTATTACTAATCAATTGCAACAGTAAAAGAATTGGGTTTATTATCTAAGGAAAAAAAAGAATAAGTGCGCGTTTGGACATAAGAATTGTAAAATTCCAAAATACGGTGATAAAATTTTTAAGTGAAAAATGATAGTATTTGAAATTTAGAGTTGTATTTGGACATTAATATAATTTTGGGTTGTTTTTGAAATTTTGTGAGTGATTTGAGTGAAAATTTTGAAAAACAGCTTTTTAAAGTTTTTCAAATTTTTGAAAATTTTCAAAATGCATATTCAAGTGAAAATTGAAAATTTTATGAACAAACGCGCTAATTTCGAAAAAAAGTGAAACTTTTTTGAAAAAAAAAAATTCTTATGTCCAAACGGGCTCTAAGTTTTGTATAACTTTTCAAGTAGGACTACAAAATAAAACTTGTGATTGTTTCTGGTATTTCAAAAATAATGTAGTAATGGCTTTTAAAACCTTTTTCCTTCTTTCCTTTATTGAGTAACTTGGTTCCGACTTCCGAGAGTATTGTACAATATTTTAAATGGTTAGCTTTATTTGGATAGTACGCAGTCTTTTGAATATTAATATATTAGACTTTAATTTTTTAAGTTTTTATTTAGTTATATGTTTAAATAAATGTTTAAAACATCTTTTTTAGACATTTCTCAATCATGAATATGCTTATTTTCGATTTTACTTTTTTACATGTTTGTCTCTGCTTACTGTATTTTTTATATTATTCTTAAATAAATAATGGGTGATTCGTACAATAAATTTGCATGGAAAAAACTTAAAAAATCTTTGTTCATACAAATTGCTAAAGTACATAACTAACTAACTTTATGATCTTTTTTTAATTTTCTTAAAATTAAGAAAATTTAACAATTAATAAATTTCCGTCTAATCACTCTTCCTTCTTTTTTTCTTTTTTTTTTTTTTTTTTTTTTTTTTTGCGATTTTGGGTTAAGTGATATCCTCTAAATTTACATGTCAAAGAAAAATATATGCTCAATATTAATTCCAAAATTTTGAAGAGGAAAAAAAAAACTGAATTATTTAGGCCCGAAAATGAATAGAAAATGGTAGATGAAAAAAAAGTAGCATTTTATGTCATACGTTATGTAAATTGATTTTTGTGCCTTTTAAAAGGTAAATTATACATTCTTCCAGAAAATAATTTTTTGTTGGATGGATCATAATATATAAAGCTTTAGCCACTACAGAGTTGAACCAAAAAATCACAACTAAATACTGATATAATAAAATAGTTTACCAATATAAAATAATTGTTCAAATATAATGCAAATAATGAACAACCACATTAATTATATTGAGGGAAAAAAATAAGAACACGCATATATAGATACATGAGTGATAATCGATATTTGGATATACTAAATTATTTAATGCACGAGCATGTACGCTTTTGGAAGAGACACATGATTGGAGTTTAATTAATCACGATTGGAGTTAAATCTTGAAATTGAATTATTACATAATGATTTTTTATCTTTGTATTCTTCGTTATTAATGTATCTTAATTTAAAGAAATATGACTTTTATGTACTTGGATCATTAAGGCTTAACTAAATTAAAGTAAATCATTCAATTAAAAAAATAATATTAAGTATTATTGTACTCTTTAAGCGATTTACAACTTCAATTACATATTTATGTCATTTTAGAATGTTTATTACTTTTGAAAAGTGTTTGATAACATTTGACATAAAATATTCGTGCATCGCACGAACGTAGAGACTAGTATATATAAAAGAGGGAATGCAAATAATGACTCGACACCTCTCTAAGACTAGGATTGCTATTTATCTTTTTTCTCATTTTTTTGGATTTTCTTTTGTCCAACAATCTTCATTCCTTTCAATGGATTTTTACAATTAATAAACTTAATTTATGTACGTTACTATTTTGTTCCAATTACTCAATGTTTACCACCATCTTTAGTACCTAATCAATATTTTAAATCTTTCAGACCATTATCCTCATTTTACCGAAAACGGATGTCACCAAGACCTTTCATCATTCTTATTCAATTTGTTTTATAACTCAAAATTAATTACCCTATTTATTACATCTCATTATGTCTCAAGAGTTAAAAAAACCTCCATATCTATTTTTTTTTTTAAAAACATACTCTTCAGCTCCCTAAATACCCTATCTTACCTTCTCTATATAATAATCTCATACCTCCATTATTTTTTGTAACCCTCACAAATTTTCCATAATCCATGAAACATGAACAAGACTATCACTCTCAACTAACATGCCATGAAGGTTTATTTTTTCTTTATTTTTGCCTTTTCACTTTTTTCTGTTAAATACTACTAATATTTTTCTTCTTTCTTGGTACACTCCATGTTATCAGCTAAATTAGTTTAAAGGATGTTAATTATAGTTCTGCAATATTTTTTATTTTCTTTTTTTTTAGGTTTTTAATACAGTATTATGTTGGTTGAAAAATAAGTTTGTTGTACCTCGAAAAAGTAGTTATTTGTAGGGGTGGGCATCGATCGGTTCGGTTCGGTTATGAATCTCATCGGTTTTGCCTATCGGTTATCGGTTTACAAATATCATAACCCGATAACCAAACCGATAAGATATTGGTTATCGGTTATCGGTCATTATCGATTCGGTTATCGGCTTACCCGATAAGATAAAACAATTAAAACAGTTTCGCAAAGTAAAAAACTGTTTCACAATGTATAAAACAGTTTCGGTAAAATCAGTATTCTTAAGATCTTCTTTGTTCAAACGACTAGCAGTAACTCTTTGTACATTGATATCTACGTTTTTACTCTAGTACATAATTATGTATATAGATTAAAAAGTTTATTAGTTATGAAATACAAATTTTATAACAACTGACACAAA